TAAAGTAATCATAAAGTAAGAAATGTACAGTTTGGAGTGACAGAACTTTCATAGCTTAATTACCTAAAAAGTAAATTGTTAAAGGAAGCAATTAATGGCCACACAAAATCTATGAACCACTTACATACCACTCTATAGCACCCAATACAGTGCTACATAAAGATATCCAAGTTTATTCTGAATTAACTATATCCAGTACTGAAAGCAGTGCACCCATGTAGCTCAGCACTCTCTTTCTTGCCTAATATATCCTGTTTCTCAGCAGGACTCAGTACTGTGTTGTAAAGACATATCTTTAGTGCCATATAAGCTCTCAAAATTGGATATAAGTGGAATACAGAATCATAGAAAAGTATGGCCAGCAGGGACCTCTGGAGATCATCTAGTTCAACCCCCTGCCTGAGGAAAGATCGTATCTATCCAAATCATCTCATATAAAATCCTTGTCTAACCTATTACTAAAATTACACAGGCAGCCCTGTCATGCACTAAATTGTCAGAGGTAAAGCAAGGGGATTATGGTGGCCAATATCCTGCTTCTGAAAGGGTTGTTAAAATATGCTCAAGAGATCCACAGAAGAGGGTGACAACCCCTGCAACAGAGGAAGGCAAAACTTTCTACAGTGCATACCAGTCTGACTCAGCATTAAAATTCCTTACTGACCCAAATGTGGTAATTCCTCTGACCCTGACCAGAGGGGCAAGACCCTCTAGCCAGGAACCTCTGGATTTTAGTCCCAGCAGGGACACTAGCACATCCGAGTCAAAATCCCCAGCCTTGCCTGCAGCCAACACCCAACACTTCTGAGGAAGGCAAAAAATTCTGACCAATGTTTATCCAAAATCTTCTTGAACATTTCCAATGGTGAGTCCACAGCTTTCCTAATCTACTGCCTCACTACTCTAACAGTGATGAAAGTTTTTCCTGATATCCAGTCTAAACATATTTTGCTGCAACTTCCTCCTCTCTGTAGCAACAGAGAAAAGGTGTTCTCCTTCTTTGCAACAGCCCTTCAGATATTTGAAGACTGCTGTCATGTCCCCTCCTAAGCACCTTTTCCTTTAACCTTTTCTTTGCATGACTTGCCCTCCAAAACCTTCATCATTTTTGTTGCCCACCTCAGGACCCTCTCTAACTTCTCCATGTCCTTTCTAAATCACGGAGCCCAAAACTGCACACAATACTTTAGGTGTGGCCTAACTGGTGCTGAATAAAGAGTCACTGTCACATCCTGTATCTTGCTCTTAATGATCTGATTGATGCAGCCCAAAACCCCATTCACCTTTTTGGGCAGCTGAGTCAACTGCAGCCTCATATTGAATTTGTGATCCACCAAGACTCTTAGCTCCTTCCCCATAGTGCTGCTATCCAGCCAGCTGTCACCAATTTTGTATACATGTTTTTTATTCTTTGAGAAGTGCAGCACTTTGCATTTGTCAGCATCGAACTTTATTCTGTTAGCTCCAGCCCAGCTTTCCAATCTGTCAATTGCACTTCTTCTGACTTGCAGTCCTGTCCCGCAGTGTGTTTGCAGACCTTTCCAGTTACATGTCATCTGTATACTTGCCCAAGATGCTTTCTGTTCCAGCATCCAAATAAATATTAAACACGTTGAACACCACTGGGCCTAGGAGAGACCACTGTGGGACTCCACCTCCTGCCATTCAAAACCTCCTGCTATTCCAATATGCCTCTGCTTATAACTACCCTTTCTTTGTAGCTATTGAGGCAGTTGCACATCCACCTTATAGTAGTTTTGTCTAGCCCACATTTATTTGTTCAATTTGTTTCTGATAAAGTTCCATGAGGGCTCTTTGCATAAGGAAAAATGTTATGTGAAATTAGTTATACCCTCTAAGGAGTGTTTATTAGTTTAAAAAAACCCAAAAAAACAAAACATGCTTTTCCATTTCTGTGGCTCCTTTGGGCTTGAACGTACTCCATCTGAAGTCAATGGGTTTTACTGGGGACTCCAATGATTATTTTAAAAGTGCAACACACCCCAAACAATTTTCATAGCACCTTAACATAAAGGACTGCAGTTTAAGTCTCCCAAGAGGTGCTAATAGTGAGATAACCCTATAAATCCACTCTCTAAAGATTTTCTTTTGACTTGGATGGATGTTCACTATGTAGGAGGATCAAAATCGCCCCACCAGAAATGAACTTTTTCGTAACGGTCTTGAAATCAGACTACATTTTGGCAGTTGTTTTCTTTTCTGTGCTTTTCTCTGAGGTAATCGTCCATAAAAAGAAATATACAGGAGGGCAGAAGAATGTGCTCCCTGAAGTATTATCCAAAACCCACACGCTTGTTTAATTTCCAATACTGTGAAATCCAATAAAAAGCAGAGTAAATGAAATATCACTCAGGGAGACAGAAACAGGCACCTTTGATCATCAATGCCACATCACAGCACTCACATTTCATTCTAGTGGTTCCCATGACATCATCCAACTCCTATGATGTCCATGGCCTTGTAGCCCTGTCATCATTGAATACTGTCATGTGTATTGGCACACATACACTGCTACTTGTATGTCACCGCATGCCTTCTTGCACCAGCTATTCTGAGGAGAAAGGCTGGCCTTTTATGAGCAAACAGACTTTGGAAATACATTATTCTAGCCGTAAAACAATTACCATAAAATACATTGCCTGTTCCATATAGTCTTCCTCAGGATTTTAATAAATTGGCTAATGGCAGAAACAGGGAATCTCTGGGAGTCTTGGTTTCCGCTCACCAAACATCCCCGACCTAAAATGAGCACGTTAGGGCCCCCTTCCTGGCGCTGCAAGTCCGAAACAGGGAGTCCGTGGGGCAACCATGGCCTTTCAGACAAAAATCACGCCACAAAGGCTCGCATCTGAACAGCATCCAGGATTCCTAACGCGCTGCAAAGCCTGGCCCAAATGAGCTCCTTCCCAGGCCAGAATTTTAAGTGAGAAGGGGTGGCTGGAGGAGTGCAAAGGCAGAGCCAAAGTGGAGAGAGCCTAAATCCCCTCCCCATCCCTTCCTCCTCAGGCTTGCCCAGATTCCCCAAGACATCCAGCTCAGCTAAGTATTACAATGGAAATGTGCTGCTGCTGCTGCTGCTGCGCCTGCCT